TGTTCAGTTTTCAGCAATTAGAAAGTTGACAAGCCTACTTATGCTTAACAATTTATTCCACTTTGTATTTAACACAGACACTGCTTACCTTCCCCAGACCTGAGGAAGAGCTCTGTGCAGCTTTCAAGCTTTCCCCTTCCAACAACAGAAGTCAGTCCAATAAAAGGTAGGAGTTCTGTGTCTCGCATATCCTTGGAACTCATCCAAATACAACAATACTGCATCCACCCACTCAATTAGCCTCACTAGCACTGGCACTACAATTGACAGGTACTTCCTTCTTTTTCTGTTATAAATTCTGGGTTCCCTCCGCCTTTCCCCTCCCCCCCACTCCAGCTCATCTGAAGAAGTAGGTTTTGCCCACGAAAGCTCATGATTCTATGTATATTTTTGTTAGTCTCTAAGATGCCACAGGACTTCTCGTTGTTGTATAACCATGTGGTCATTTCCATGGTTAAAAACAAATGACATTAAAATTGTTTCATTATGAGATCAAAGCTAAGTTATAATAATTTAGCAGCTAGAATATTAGAAAATGACAGTGATATCTGATATCCCCAGTTCATACACTTAAGTAATGCAAGTCCTGAATCAGTGATGGACAACCGAAAATACGAAGTGGGCTGCATGAGTGGCCCTCCTTCATATTAGCAGCCTGTGGCCCACTGGGTTCCACCTGCAGCCCCTGTCTGGTCCCCTCCTTCTTGCACACTGGGGCACCAGAGTCCCGCACTTACCTGTTTTTCCTCCTTCCACCCCCCACCACTTTCAGAGTGAACAGCTGTTCGAGGCACTCCCAGCGCTGGGAGGGAAGAGGATGAGTGGGAGCAGAGTGCAAATCAGGTGATCTGCATGCTCCAAAAGTGCTGGGAGGGAGGGGGAGGAGTAGGAAGTGAAGGCTGCAGTGCTCCAATGTGAGAGCCACATGGGAGAAAGAGCAGATAGAGGGTCCACAGGCTGCAGGTTGCCCACATTTCTGTAGGAGTTACAAGATCAAGTAGATTATAGGTGTGTATTTCTTTGTTTTGTACTTTTGTATATGTAGTATAAATTCATACTAATGACTGGAAGCCTTGTAAATTACTGTATGTGCTGACTCATCTATTGGAAAGTTTACTGTAAGAGCACACTGGGTTAAATCAACAGGGCTGTTGGCAAACAATCAAAAAGATAAAAACCACTTTATGTAAGACCCTACCCACAACAAACTCTTGAGGGTTGTTACAGGATAATGAAAGAACAATTGACCCTAAGGCAGGGGTTCTTAACCTTTTTACCTTCACACCTCCCCCTGAAAGTGAACTTCATGTTCACACCCCCCTGGGAGCCATTTTGTGCACAGCCTAGCCCCCCCCCCCCACCTGACAGGAAGCTAAGGGGCATGGCTAGGACTATAAGAACTCTGCCAGGGAGCTCAGTCAGGGCCCAGCCTCTGAGGGAGACAGAGGCCTACCTAGTGCTCCTGGCTGATGAGGCTGAGACCTGGATCAGGCCTCTCACAGCTGCCTTCCCTCAGGCCAGCGAAGGCTTCCCTGGGATAAATTTTCTGTGAGGCACCTCAACCCTCCCCTGTATCCCCTTCACACCTCCCCTGGGAAGGTGCACCTCATGGGTTAAAACCCCCTACCCCTGTCTACACTCGCGGCTTCTTGCACAAGTACAGCCGTTCTTGAGCAAGAATCTGCAGAGCATCCACACTGCCCGCCCACTCTTGCGCAAGGAAATTTACAGTACAGCGTGGTAAGAGAGGGCTCCTTGCACAAGAGCTATGCTCTTTTTTGACAGGTGTAAGCCCTCTTGCGCAAGAGCTCTTGTGTGAGAGTGCAGTGTGGATGCTCAGCAGGGATTTCTTGCGCAGGAAAGCCCTATGGCTAAAATGGCCACCAGAGCTTTCTTGCGCAAGAAAGCGTCCACACTGCCATGGGCGCTCTTGCGCAAAAGTACAGCTCGCAAATGGCAGTGTGGACGTTTTCTTGCGCAAGAGTTCTTGCGCAAGAAGCCGTGAGTGTAGACATAGCCTAAGGGAATAGGCTCAACTTCACAATGAATCTACCAATACGGCTTTGGACTAACATAGCCAAAAAGTCTGCAAATTGAGAGAAGAAAGAATTCTGCTTAGTTTTCAAAAGGCACACTCATGCAGGCATAAATACAGTTAAGGGAAACAAAGACCTAGGGCATGTCTATATAACAGGGCTAAAGGCCAAAATAAGCCAGGTAACTTGAGCTCTGTCAATTGCACAGCTTAAGTTGAAATAATTATTTTGGCTTTTGACACTGTCTACATAGCAGCAAGTCGGAAAGAGAGCACTCTTCTTCCAACTTCCCTTACTCCTCATAAAATGAAGGTTACAGAAGTTGGAGTAAGAAGTCCTCCAGCTCGACATTATTTTGACATTGTCAAAATAATGGCTTGCTGTGTAGATGTGGACTATGTTATTTTCAAATAACAGTTATTGTGAAATAACACTGCTCTGCAGAGAGCAAGAGCTCAGAGGTTAGGAGTGAGCGGGAAAGCAAGGCCAGCTTAGGGCATCTATGAGGATGGCAGACCTTTTGTTGTTTTAAAATTTCTTAAAATGTATTCCTATTGCTAGTATTAAACAATACTTTGGTTTAAAACACGTAGTAGATGAAGGGAGAGGATGATGGATGAGGGTAGATGGGTGGTGGATGAGGGGTATACAGCAATGGATATTATGTTAAAATGTGTTTTTATTTAGGTGAACATATAACCATTGAGAAATTCAGTGGTTACATGTTTATAGTGGGTGGGGAGGCGGCTCTCCAGGAAAGCTCCCACCTGCCCTCCTTTGCCACCCCCATATTGCTGCCTCTGATACAAAGGAGGGGGGGCACTGTGTATAACCATGAAGATTAACCAAGGAGCCCAGGCTCATCAGTCAACTGTGTAGGCACTTACACTTTCACATCCCTAGTGGATATAGGATGGATGTAGGTAGGGCTGGGTAGACAGGCTGTGTGCGGGACAAGGTGCTGTGGGGGGTAGACAGGTGATGAATGGGGAAAAGGGCTTTTGGAGCTAGAGGAGTGGTGGATGGTGAGGGGGGACTGCGTGGGCTACAGACAGTGCGCGGGGCAGGGGAATAAATGGGTGGCAGGTGTGGCTGGACAGTGGATGGGGTGAGCGGCCGTGGGGAGGTAGGCTCCATGCAGGGGCGGTGGATGGGGCACGAGGCCGGGGCGGGATGGGGGGCGG